GAAAGGCAGTTTGCCTCCACCCAGAGGTACTCTGGAAGAAAGGCCTGGTGATCTGCACCCCCAAAAGCAGTCATTGAGAACCCTCTGGAGCTGTTTTCCTCTGACACATGGAGTCGTCATGAGTTGGAACAAACTTGATGACAACTGGTTAACAAAAGCAGGGAGAGCAGAAAAGTGGCTGAAGGGAGATATCAGACAGGGCAGGATATGACAAAATAAACAATTTATAAATTTTTTAAAAAAGAAGGGAAAGAGGTGGTTAGGGGAATGTTGAAGACGGCTGTCAGATGGCAGAGGAGAGCAATGAGTGGCAAGTGGAGCCAGCCCGAGTGGGCAACTAGTTCAAGAAGGGCAAATGAAAAGGGAATGAGATGTGCTTCAACAGGTGGGTGGATAAACTGCTGCTCGACCCCTGTGTGGGGCACCAGCTCCCACAATCGAATGGGTCCAAGGGGCGGTTACATAATTGAGGGGTAAAATTAGAGACATCAGACAAGATAAGGTATGCAATTGCTCACCTCCCCGATGGCCAGGATCTCAGCAGCCAGGTCCACACAGAGAGAGCGAATATATTTCCAATGACAGCTTATATACACTTAGGGGACATGCAAGCCCCCCTAATTACATCATAACAGGAAAAGGTACCATAGGTAACAGGAGAGGGACAAGTTAAAGGTGTACATGCAATAGGAATAGGAGGGACTAGGGGGATACATGTGACAAGATGGGCGTACTCTAAGGTCAAGATGGCACCCTAACCTTGACCCTCATGGAGTTGGCTTGACCTGTTTTTGGGTTCTCCTTCAGGGGAACAATCCACTATAGTTATCAGCAGGGAGTGGGCCCCACCTAGGGTGGGACAGACTATAGGGTCTGATTGCTCTAGATGGCTGATAACCCTCAGGCAGATAACCTCTAAGCAGTTGACCTTCAAGTGCATAGCCATTGACCATGTGTTAGCAAGCAGCATCTCAGGTTTGGTATATAATATGAGTGGAAAATCTGGGGAATAACTTTTTTGTATCCCACACTCCTACAGTGGAATACTACTCAGTAATGAAAAAGGTCAAAACTATTGATGAGCACAGCACCCAGCATGGGTGAATTTCAAATGCAAAGGCATTATTGCTGAGTGAAAGAACCAAAACAAAACAAAACATCTGCCATCAAGTCAATTCCAACCCCTAGAAACCCAATAGGACCAGGTGGAACTGCCTTTATGGGTTTCTGAGACTAATCATTTACAGGAGCAGAAAGCCTCTTTTCCTCAGAGGAGCTGGTGGTGTAGAACTGCTGACGTTGAGGTTAGCAACCCAATGTGTAAGCCACTACACCACCAGGGCTCCTGAGTGAGATGCCAATCTCAAAAGGTGACAAAGCAGTGC